GTCGCGTTTTTAAAAATGAGACTGCGTGACAACATCATGTGCAGAGCTCCTCGAGAAAGAAGGAAATCTGGATCAGGATTTGTTTATGGTATTTTTCTGAGAAAGTCAAGATTATGTCTCCCAGTTACACCATTGCAATTTGTGATGATCTTTCAGGATTTCTTTAAAATAAAATCTAAGAGACTACCTTTTGCACACCTGAGGCCTGTACTATGAAGTTATTATCTGGATTCGCTCACCCTAACACTTAATATTAGGGTTAAATGGTCACAAAAAGGTAGTTATCAACTTGCGAAGTTAACCCTCCCCCATGTTCATAAGAAAGGGGTGGCACTGGCAACATCGGACCAATCACAATTACTGGCGAGTGTACTGGCAACAGAACAACTGATTATTAACTCTTAAGTTATCTGGATATGACAAAATCCTCCTTTGTAGTAACAGACCCTGTGGTGCTGATTGAAGACTGCTTCCTACCATGTGTCATATGCATGTCGTTTCAGGACCAGAAATTTAATATAACTATATGAAAGGCTTTTGATTAGGAGTTAAACTGATAATATTTGAACTGAATCAGTCCATTCAATACACCTAAAGACTTTTACAAAAGAAAAACAGTGTAAGAAAATACGGTCACCTCATATTACTCACCTATGGTGTAAAAATATGGCGTAACAACTGCCATTTGCACACAGTTAATGCCTCCAAGAACTTCACCCAGCATTTTGTGGATCTGCTGCTGCACAGGACTCACAGAGCCATTCCCTAAAAACAAACAACTCCCATGTAACTGATATAGCATTAAGTTGCAGCAGTTTTAAACCAAGCCTACATAAAAAGAGAAAATTTGATTACCTTTCCTATGCAACTGCTGGCAGTAGCGCTCATGAAACCAAGGCACCTGGTACTCCGGACACTCTAGACACACGGCACGGTTGAGCTCCATGAGCCGCAGTCGTGTCCGCATGTTGAGCGCATCGGGCAGGGCTGGAGGAAGCAATATAAACACTTATATTAGTCCCATCTGATTTCACTATGGAAGCTGTGGCACAGATGCTCAAATTTAAGGAAACTGGCAGCTTACTTTCCAGTTGTGAATCCAGCTTTCCCAGAAAGTCTATGCTGAAAATTGCTCTGATCAGTTCCTCGGGAAAATGGTCAGCTACAGCCAAGGAGTATGCCAGGAGGACCAGCAGATGTGGGTCAAAGGAGCCTACAAGTACATACAGTGAGTGTAAGCCTAAAAATAAGAAAGAAAAATTATCTGCAATCACGCATAATAACTTACTGAGATGAGGAGTGAAGCGTTTAATACAAGCATCATACAGCTCGTCTACTTGTGGAGGGTCATAGTTAAGGACAGAAAAGGGGAGGAGTGTGGCGTATGTTGCTGAGTAGTGAATCTTAAAAAAAGAGACATGAAGAATAGAGGATGTCAGTATGCAGTATTTAACATGGTGATCCAATGAATGTCTCTTGAAGCACCTTATGGATGTGTTCAACAGTCACACTGGCGATTCGGTCCATCAGAGGAGGGCTGAGATGATTTATCCTGGTTAGGAAGAAGGCCAGTTCGGAGACGTTGGTCCAGTTTATTTGGTCGATCATCCTCTGCAGCGTGATCATGGTTTCGTCCAGCAGCATTTCCTCAAACCACTCGCCCGAGACGTACTTGAGCTCGTCCAGCAGTAAGTCCAGCCGGTCGGCTGTTTGCAGCCTCTCGTGCCCGCAGCGGTTCAACGTCTGCAGCAGACGCACGTACTTGCTGTGAGTGTTGTGGCGGTAGGACTGATCGTTGCGCACCCACTTGGCCACGGCAAAAGAAATGGTGTTAAGCTCGCTGAGATTACACTGCTCCACTACCGCGTCTACCCGAGAGACCACGGCCTCCTCGAGTCGCGGGCAGGGCAGCATGGAGAGCACACGGGTCAGCATGGTCACTTCGTACGGGAAGACGCTGTGCTCCAAAAACCTGAGAGACAGAAGGGCGTCAGTCTGCATTTTATCCAAATAAACTGTGAAGCAGCAGTTGCGCCTTTGGCAGAGACTTACTTGATCAAAATGTTTCTCAGTGTGGCGAAGAGCTCGGGGTTTTGATACTGCAACAGAAAAAGGGCTTGTGTGATTCTGGCCACCTCCACTGACTTGTAGAGGTGAAGGTTTCTCTGGATTACCGATGCAATTCTGAAAAATGATTAGTTATAGTTACTGATTATCTCTACTGTCAGGCTACAAAGGCTCTGATCCAGGAACTGATTATAAGACACACAACACACAAGGTGAAGACAACACCAGGCATACTGTAACAGGTGGTAACACATAAACAACTCACTTGTTCATTAAGCTAAGGTTCCTGCTCTGAATCTCTTCTAGTGCTTCAGCTACAGCCAGTGCCTGCTGTGCATTGAGCTCATCCGCCAACAAGAGGGCTGTGTTCTCCAACCTGTAAAGAATCAAAGTGGATATCAGGTCAGTGGGAACTGCTTTAAAGAGATTTCCCCTCATATCACGCTACTGATAATGAAACAAACCTTTCTCTGATCTCTGGAGTGGCCATAGGGGCCAGAGCAACAAACAGTTTGGTGAAGGAGAAAGGATCGATGCTCGAGTCGATCAGCTCGGTCAGCTTTTGTTTAGCAGCTAGCCTGAAGTCACAGTTGTTGAACTGCAGTGACTGATACAGCCCTAGGATGATGCTGAGATTCTCTGCATCCAGTCTGGGGATGTTACGCAGGAAGATCTCATTGCACCTCTCCAGCAGCGGTCTGTGAATGTACTTGATGTTGCGCAGAAACTGCACCATTCGTCGCGGGATGTTGTAATTCGAGGGATCCGTGGTGTGCAGCAGGTGATCGGCTCTGCTGATGAGAGCGTCCCGCAGCTGGGGAGACACCAGGGATGACACGCTGATCATCAGAGCAGTCAGGATCCTGAAACATAATAAAGCCGGGGGGAGTGACGACACAACAATAGGTGGTTATATTCAAAAACTGATAAATCATCGGTCGCCCAACAAACCTGGCATCATCAATAGTTGGCAGCCTCTCATTCACAATGCTGGTTATGCGGCCCATTAGAGGACTGTGCTGAAGGTGCTGATCATTTAAGCAGACAGCAAATTTGGACAGAGAAGCCATTGGAAACCTGCAAAAAAGTAAATCATGACTGTGTTTTAACTATTACACAATTTTCTTTTTTTTAAATTAGCCAACATTTTCTTACCGGTCTATTCTTAGCCATGCTTCTGAAACCAGTTGCTGAATAAGAGAGTCATGTGGCTCCATATTCAGCCTATTAGAAGGAAAGCATGCGTGTTAACCTTTGCAGTCATATAAACTGAATACACTGGATAATGTGTGACCGTGTACCTAAGAAAAGCGTAGAGCATATCGATCAACATGAAGTCATCCATGAGATCTATTTTGTTTTCTGCCAAAACCCGAAGAGTCAGGAACTGTTGGTGACTCTTGATGAGGTCCACAGTCCGGAGCATCTCCGGTCTCTCCTTCTGAAATTGCCACAGCAACCGCACAGCATAGTTCACGTGGTCCACTGTGAGCTTAGCCTTGTTCTTTCCCACTACATCAAACACATGGTTTTCAGCAGAGCACACCTGCAGCTGCTCCAGCACCTGGTCTCTGGTCACCGCCCCTCCATGAAGGAGCCTACGGAGGCAGGAGTTCACAGATCGGAAGCGAAACATCATCGCAGGCTTGGGCTCAGCTCTTCATTGTACCTGTGTCCACTGCTCTGACCTCCTCAAAGTGAGCTGAGATCAAACCCCACACAGTTACAGCCTGGAGGGATGAAAACAACCTGCATGACATGGTCTGCGAAAACACAAAAACATTTCAAACTATGCTCAGAAACAAACACTGACTCGGGATGAGGGGCTGACCTCTTTAACCAAGAAGCTGGTGAAGAAACTGTCCGCTCGGAGGCTTTCTACTGGTAACCACTGGACTGAAGTGGAGGCTGCTGCCTCACGTGTTTAAAGAAGCAATCACCTAAACCCCCCAACAACCTCGGACTTGCCCTTACAGCTGCATTCTTGCCTAGATTTCTGTGTATAATCGAGATTCGTGCATCACATATCTTAATACAAATACAAAAAGGTAATAAAAACGGCTCAAAGTCAAATTTACCCTACATGTGTGCGCTGAAGTTTTACTTCCGTAGCAGTGACATAAGGCAATAAGAGTTTATTAAACCCTGGATTAGGGCTTTCAGGCAGTGGCTCGTTCAGGTTTGTATATTTAAATGATTTTCTTGCAAATCAATCAATCAATCAATAGAAAAAGGTAAAATATGATAAAACATATTTTGTTTTATTTTATGAAAGTTTGTTTCTGGTGATGGAAAAAAAACTTTACCCAGGCAAAGCTTTGTCGAAGTTTTGACTTAATGTGTCAAAATCCTTGTTACTTTTGAGTAAATTAAAATGTTGAAATGCTTAAATGCTCAAAATGTATAGTTATCCAATCGAAATTTGAAGATGCTAAACCGTAAATGTGTCTTATGAATAAAATAAACAGTAGCAGAAAGAGCTTCTAAATTGTTAATTATTTGTTAGTCATTCAAAATGTTACTTGTTTACAGTAACCAAAACATTGAACCGACCGTATAACAAAGTAGCTCAAATAAAGTAAAATTGCTCAGTAACATAAAATACAATATAACAAGACAAAATTGCGCAATAAACTATGGCTATGAAGTGGTCGCAATTTTTAGCAACATGAAACGGCAAATGTAACTGGTTTTATGTCATTGCAGGAAAGTGACTCGGCAGCCCAATCGAGCATTTGCGCCTGCCAGGCCAGTTTCAGGGTAAAAATGGCCCTACGCCCTGACCGGTGCACGGCTCTGGAAACACATTGACGTCCTCGCCGCGCCATCTTTAGAAAACACTGAGCCCAGCACTGAATGAAACTTCATTTTGCTTGTTTGGGAGAGCTGCTCGCCTTACGGTGCGGTATATTCGGTTTTCCAGGTGATGTACTGTTGCGTCAGTCTTACTTTTATGCGCCGTTTAAACTTGCTGAAAATGTACCGCTCACTTCTTGCAGTAAATTCTATGTACATGTCTGCGGCTAACGATAGGTGATTTGCTAATGCTAATGCTAACGCTAGGCCTGCCGTTAAAAAGATACGGTTGGGGGGGGCGTGTGAAACTGTAACGTGAAGGTCCACGTTAGTGAGTGTGTGTAAGCGTCGGTATTTGTTATTTTTAAGCATGAAAACGTGTGTCTGCTGTCCGCTCAACCAGTCGACCGATACTTAATCGCGCGGTTAGCTAGCCGAGGCTAATTTGCAGATAATGCAGCTGCTGTAAGTCGCATGGAAACTGTATCGGTACTTTGTTTGTATTGATATCATGCAGGCGAACAGAACTTAAGTGAACTTTTATGTTACATTTAAAGAAGCCACCCGTGTGTTTAATTTCTGCTCCTGAATGAAGTTACTGGTAAGGTCTTAATGGTCAGAGTGGGGGGTTGTTCGATGTTCTGTCATCCTTGTGTTCATACCTTGTTTCTCATTTTCAGGTGATCATGGGGATCAAGGTACAGCGCCCTCGCTGCTTCCTTGACATTGGAATCAGCAATGTACTTGGTATGAAGGAAAAAATTCTGGCTGCTTTTTGGTACTTTAAGCCTTGTGTGGTTTACCAAGAAAACACACGTGGTTTATTTTCTTTCGGTCTTCTTTCAGTTTGTGGGGGGTTTGCCTATACTGAATAGAACAGGGCAAACAGGAGGGTGGGAAGAGAGTGAGGGGACAGACAGCAAGCTGTTAAACCCAAGTCCCCTGCAGTGAGGACTATAGATGGGTTGCATGATCAACCAAGTGAGCAAAACATCACAGTTAATTCATAGTCTGAAGATGAGGTTAATGCTGACCAAAACAAGGTAGTCAGCAGCTGGCAAATGGAAAAATATGGATGTCAAAAAATGTGACAAGTGAAGGCAATAATCTTTAGCTTTGTTCAGCAGTACTCTGTAATCTGTCCTTAAAGACATTAATGGGGTAGTAAAATGTTTCAGTATATGAACACTACACACTGTTTATTAAATTTGCTGAAAATAGCCTCAGTGTAGTCTGGAACTACATCGATGCCAGTTTATATTATATTGTCAGATGAAAGCTCCATCAGGGTTCAACTTGCACACATCTACACAGTCCTTTTATTAACATTATTTCCATTTCCTGTTCAGATACTGAACTCTAGACCAGGAAAAACTTCTTTTAGAAGCGCTAGTGGATTTTATTTTATTTTTTTGTGCATTTTCTGCAAGAAAGTGAGCAGTCTTGTGTCATCACAAATCTTACCATCCTTACTATTAATCAGGGCATTTGATGTGTACTAGTAAATTTAAAAATGAATTACTTTTTGTGCGCCTATAACACCTGTTCTTTTGTAAAATGGGTGTTTGTATAGATTAAATTATAATGATTAAACTCACAGACTGACAGTGCAGTGAATGGATACATAACCTCGTCTGTTTTGTTTTTCTTTTTCTTGTTTGGTTTAAAAGATTATTGTGTTGTGTGATGATTAACTCGGTGATTCACGCTTCTTGTAACCACTGATCAGTGTGCTCCATTGTACTTTACACAGAAGTAAATTTCTCTGATCTCACTGTCTCCTCACAGTTGGCAGAATCGTGGTGGAGCTGTTTGCAGACATCTGTCCCAAAACTTGTGAAAACTTCAGATGTCTCTGCACAGGTGAATGAATTTACTCAATAAAACTATTCCACAAATGATGACAATTGACAGCACAGGTTATTAATCAGATCTGTGGTTTGGTCCAGGTGAGAAAGGCATTGGGAAGGGAACTCAGAAACCGCTCCACTACAAAGGATGCCTTTTTCATCGAATTGTAAAAGACTTCATGATTCAAGGAGGAGACTTCAGCGAAGGTGAGTTTACAGGACTTGTAAATTTTATATTCGACATGGAAGGATGGTGTTACTTATGAGTCAACAGATTTTTTCATGGTTCATGGTTTTTTGTTGGTTTTTTTTATTTTTTTTAATCATAGGTAATGGAAGAGGAGGCGAATCCATTTACGGAGGCTTTTTTGAAGGTAAAGAGGCCACTGTGAATGCCATCAGTTATTATCCAAACTGACATTGGCTTCAAGATGTCAGTACAATCTTCTCCTTTTCCCCCCCAGACGAAAGCTTTGCAGTCAAACACAACAAGGAGTACCTGCTGTCAATGGCCAATCGGGGTAAAGATACAAATGGATCCCAGTTTTTCATGTAAGCAACATCTGTTCCTACCTGTAATTGACCTCGTGCATTATTAGTTGCATTTCTGAACTTTGAAAGTGATTAGATGCTTCTTTTTTTTTTCTTTTTTTTTTTCCCCTTGAATGTCCTGCTTTCACATCTCAGAACAACAAAACCTTCTCCACATCTCGACGGGTAAGTGCCTCCCAACTACATTTTGAATTATTAATTAATCCCATTATGCACAATGCACGCAGCATGTAATGAGGCATTGCTACCACTTTATTTTCTCAGTGTGCATGTGGTTTTTGGTCACGTGATCTCTGGCCAAGAAGTCATTCAAACCATGGAGAGCCAGAAGACGGACCCCAACAGCCGACCGTACGCTGAGGTGAAAGTTTTGAACTGTGGAGAGCTCATCCCCAAATCTAAAGGTGTGTTTAAATAAAGTATATTCAAAGTTTTTTGTTTGTTTGGGGTTTTTTTTTTTAAATGAGTCTCAGTCATCATAATAATGCTGTTTATGTTGCTGCAGCAAAAAAAGATGCAAAAAAGAAGAAGAGGGCCTCATCAAGCTCCAGCAGTAGCTCCAGTGACTCGGAGAGCTCCTCAGAGTCGTCCTCCGAGAGCGAAGAGTCAGAAAAAGAATCCAAGAAGCGGAAAAAGAAGGCAAAGAAGCAAAAAGAGAAACAGAAGGAGGACAAGAAGAAGTACTTCATTTATTTTCACCTATTCACTGTCTGCTGTGTAAATGGCACCAAGTGTCTTGCTACTGACCCACAAAATCTTTACAGATCAGAAGCTGAAAGTGCTGAAGAGAAGGAACAAGATGAGTTGGTTACATCTACAGTGCGTCCTGAAGAAATCCCACCCATCCCTGAAAATCGATTCCTTATGAGGATAAGTCCCCAGATAGCCCAGAAGCCAAAAGAGGAGGTTAACAAGGATCAGCGAAATAAAGACGAAAGACCAAGAGAAAGGTGTGTTTGAGAGTCAGCCAATATCACAAATATCAAAAAGTAATACAGTTTGTTCATTTTCACGCCTTCCCTCACCTACAGTACTGGTGCAGCTTACAACTCTCAATCAACATATCACAGAAGACTCGTGATGACTCGATCTGGCAGGAAGATAAAAGGCAGGGGTCCAAGGGTAGGTGGAGCAAACGTTTTGCACACTTTACGTCATACAGCAAGATTTATTTATAACAAGCTTTGTTTTGTTTTTACTTATGCACAGGCATGTTGAAGATGCTGATTTATGTTTCTCCCATCTAGAGATACCGGACCCCATCACGCTCTCGTTCAAGGTCTAGAGATCGTTTTCGGCGCAGTGAAACTCCCCCACACTGGCGACAGGAGATGCAGCGTCAGAGGATGAGGGCAGTCACAGGAGAGCGATGGATTAAGGGTGACAGGTAAGATGATATCACCTAAAGTCAAAGATGTTGTAGAAGTTCCCTGTAGGCAGGACTTGTTTTTTTTTTTTTGTTTTTTACTTAATCCACTTTAAAGCACTTGAGAAGAAATTTTTGTTGGGCTCCATATTTCAGATTTAAAAATCATACATTGCAGTGTGCATGTATGATTTTTATTTTATTTTTTTTACGGTCTTTGCATTGCTTTATATTAAAAAATATAAAGCAATTGAAAGGGCAGTAAAAAGGTTGTGAACACTGCAAATGGATCCTGCCAATCAGCAGCTTTAGCTCCATTTCCTCCTAAGCTGGTAAATATTGACACCTCTGCTGTGCACCTAGCAGAGATGAAGTGTTTGTCATAAAACGGAGAACGTGCTGAGCCTCGAGCCTTGTACCTGAGATGACCACAGACAAGCTGTTGGTAAACTGCAGTGACCACTGAAAAAGCATGAATATTTAAACCGTTGGAATATTATTCCCAACATGTATGATTTCATTTCTATAACACTTTTTAAAACTTTTAAGGGCCTAAACCATTTCTTTTGAGTTACAGTACCTTTGAAACTCTTAATACATAAAGATGTGACAGACTTTTTTTCTTTTTTTTTTAGTTAATAAATGAGCCATGCGAGTGGCTTTTTCCCCCTCAGAAATGACAACTCAATTTGACCACTCTCAAAACCCTTAATCAGAATTACTTTGCAGGGCAGGGAGAGTCCTGCTAAATCATTTTTGTTTCAGATATGCACGTTGTCTTTAGGTGGCTTCCATCACTCTGACTCGTCCTATGAGTTTTGTCTGTTAGCAAAATTAAATATTTTCAATCCCAAATTCATACTCAATATGAATATTATTGACATACACAACATAGAGTTACATGTGGTATATGGTGCATACTTAATAATAAAATTCCCATATCATATGATATCCCAGTTTCAGACTGAAGAAGTCACTTAGCTGAGTGAGATGTTTCTCAATGCTGCATCCAGATGAAATTACCTGGATTACTGAGCAGGCATCAACATTATATTACATGGTGCATGTACACTCACTGGGGTTCACTGTGCTCATAAAACGACAGGCATGGTTAGCAATATTAAGGTGAGCTAAATACACTCAATTGCTGTTATGTGATTGACAGATTATATATTAGCAGCTAAACAGGTGTACTTTATAAAGTGGCAGGTGAGTGGATGTGCACTTGATTATATAACAAAACAACAGAAAGGTTACTTTAAAAAAAATAAATAAAAAGATTTGTCTGCCAAATTGATGTTTTGTCTAACTCCTAAAGTTTATTATTGTTATTATTCTTTTTCTACTATTTCTTTTACAGAGGTGACATGAATGAGGGTCAGGATGAGGCTGCTAAAGCACAGAAAAGAGAGAGACGGACTTCAAGTTCAAAAGCTGAACATACAACTGAGGGTAAAAAAGACAAGAAAACTCGATCTCATAGATCTAAAAGTAAGGAGGAGGATACTGTAGCGAAGGATGAGAAGCATGATAAACAGAAGGCAAAGAAAAAGGATAAATCCCATAGTCGCAGTAAAAGCCGAGAAAAGAAAAGGTCAAAAAGCAGAGAGAAGAGTCACAAGCACAGAAGTGACGAGAGGAGAGGTCGCTCAAGGAGCAAAGATAGAAATGTTCATAAGAAAGAAAAGGAGGCAGAATCTGATCACAGTAAAGACAGAAATAAGGGTCATGAGTCTGACAAAAAGCATAAAGAAGACGCAAAAGGTAGAAATGGTGAGCGAACCAGGACAAAGTCCAGAAGTAAAGAGAGAGCTGCCAAAAAGGATGAGCACAGATCAAGCAGCAGAAACAAAGACAGAGGTAGGACTTCAGCATCAAAAGAGAGAGAAGAAAAAAGAGAGAAGGACAGAGAGAGGGGCAGAGAGCGCAGCAGAGAGCGCAGCAGGAGTCGGGAAAGAAGACACAACAGTGATAGGGAGAGTAAGAGACAAGGAACATCCCGGGATAAAGAACATCGAACAAGAAGCCCAGACAGAAGTAAGGCTAGGGACTCTCACAGAGGCAGGCGCTCGAGAAGCAGGAGTGGCAGGCGAGACCGAAGCAGGGATCGATCCTCTCATAGAAAAGTCAGAGACAGAGAGGCTGCCGGCCAGAGGAGGAGACGCAGTAGCAGCAGCTCTGAGAGTGACAGAGAAGAGAAAAAGAAGAGTCATAGGAGCCCAGATTCTAAAAGAAGAGACAAGTCCAAAGACCGAAGGAGCCCGGCCAGCCAAAGACCAGACAGTACGAAAGGCAAAGATAGAAATGATAGCAAGAGGAATCGGTCGGGGTCTAGCTCCAGCTCCAGCTCTGACAGCAACTAAACGCGCAATGTTCTTATTTTCTACAGCGTATATGTAGTACGCAGCGTCAGCTTTCCATCTACAGTGGGGCACAATCACAGTCCTCATACAGTACAAAATAAACAGTTCTGCCAAAGATAACATGACTGTAAAAGGTTCCTCAAAGCTAATTACTTGACTGTTAAATAACTGTGGTATTCAGATAACAGACTGTAGAAAAGACCTTAAATAAAAAGGCTCATACCTGAAGGTGCAAACTGTAGCATCCTCAACCTTTGGCTGAAGTTTGGACTTTATGGGGATTGTGGGTTTGTCCACCACTGAGTGTGTAACACAGTTAACTGGTAGCTGACAATTTGGAGCCATTCTAGAAACAAAGGATTTGTAACTACAAAGTGTGTGTACTGCACAGGCAGGGCTGTAAACGTACCAGTTATTCTTCTAAATTTTACATTATTTAATCGAGTGAAGTCAGATTGGAGGCAAGTTTTCTTTTTGTTGTTGTTGTTTTTCTGAATTTTACATCATGTGGTAAATTCTGTAATTCTGTCTTGACTTAAAATTTTCTCTGATTTTAGTTTGTTTAAAAAAAAAAAAATTTTAAAGAGGGGGAGAAAAAGATTTTGAAGGTATCCTCGAGTTATTTTAATGTCAATCAGCCTGGAAGAAAACACTCGTGTCTTGCATGCTCATCTTTGTCATTGTGTGTCAGATTATGTACACCCATGATGTTTCTTTTGTTTGTTTGTTTTTAACCATTTACTGTAATTCTGTTGAAAGAGAAAATGTTAATGCCAAGCTGTTAAGTATAAGATAAAAGCAGTTTGTTTCTGTTCTGTTTGGTTCAAACTGATTTTAAGAACTGCTGGAGTGTTTGAAGAATTAAAAGGCTCTGTTTGATTTTAATTCATTGTTTTTTGTTTTTATTCGTTAAGTGATACCGTTATTACGGAAAAGCAACACTGAATTATTACCTTTTAGTGAGTCATTAGTGGTTGTATCACTCTGTCGTTGCAGTGGAAATTCGTTCCCAGGTTATTTTTAGTTTGGATGAGTCAGCTTTCCATCATTTCAAATAACAAATTCTGAGTGATGTGCTTTTACTCCCTTCAAAGCAAGGGAGTATGAATTCTGTTTGTCTTAACTAGTGTCCAGTTTTCAAGATATCATTTTCAAATTTTGTGTGATTGTTGTTGCCATAACGGCTAAAGCTGATGTAATTTTTTTCCCTAAAATGTATAATCTTCAACCTTCAATATATAGTAGGCTTTGGGGAACATGAGTACCGAGATTGGCCAAGCACCCTTATTCTTAGCACCCAAGGTTAAAGTTGACCTTAAAAAAACAAATTCTAGAAACCATATCAAGTACTATATAAAAGGACATACAGAGGGCTGTGTAACACACTTTTTGTATTATAATACAATGCCCCACAACCTCACATTGATACATTCATGCAACGTGAAACTTCGAGTATCTTAAAATCTCAAGTTTTATAGTTTATATAGCTAAAGTTTGAAGCAGAATTGGCTGAAATTATATGGGTAAAGATTATAAAATGCACTTTTAGTATATAGTGCTTGAAGGTCAAAGTTCAGGATCATACTAATTATGAAAAAGCTTACCGGTAAGTTTCCTTTGGATCATCTCCAAACTTCAGAGCAATATATTAGTTATCGGGGTGCATAAGCACGTTCCTTGTTTGAGCTCTTTAAAACGTTGTTGTTTAAGTAGAACATATGACTTCACAATGACACAAAAAGATTAATGTACTACACTACATTTCTATATTAACGATGCTGACATCAGCATAAAGCAGCAATGTTTTAGTGTAGCCCTTTCCCTTCAAGGCAGTGGTCATGTGGTTCCCACAGTTTGTGTCGTGGCCCCCTAGTGGGATATGAAAGTACTGCAAGTAGGGCACAAGAGGTTGAGTTACTATAGTTGTGGGAAGTCTGGGGCCTATCTCGGCTGTCATAGAGCAAGACGGGCACACGCTGGACAGATGGTTACTTGTGCTCAGATGAGCTAGTGGATTCAAGCCAAGGACCTTCTTGCATTGAGACACCAAAGTGAATTACTCTTCTGTTCCTCAATATATTAGTTATATATTAGTTTAACATTGCCATTAAATATTCACATTTTAAAAATACAGGACCAGCAAAACAGTGGTATGAGAACATATTCATTCCTGATCACTGACTGTAGATAAGTTATACTGTTATTGTTTCTGATCTATTTCTGAACTTCAACTCTGCTTGTATTTTGTCAAAAAAATAAAGGGGAGCAGTGGCTAACAGCCAGTAAATAAACTCATCAGAAGATCAAAATTGACCAATGAAAAAACTAAGAGAATATATTCAACTTGGACAATGAACAAAATTGTCTTTAAAGTTGAGGTTGAGACACAGAAGATTTCTATATTTTGAAATAAGCCATGGCAGTCTCAACCTTGGTAATGATGGCTTTTTACCACTGGTCTCATTGTTTAGTGGATGTTTACCATGACTAAAACCTTCAAAACTTTACGGTTTATTAAATACAACATGGGCTCCCTGGACGCAGGGAGAGTAAGGAGGCACAATCAGTATCAAGATGTTTTTAGCATGTTTGAAAGCAGGTTCAAAAACCGCTGAGCAGATTAACTCTTGAGTTTTTAGTCCCAGAAAACCTGAGTATGTTGTCTTTGAGTTCAGCTCGTAGGCTATCATCAGTGGACCTCCGTTACTAGGATTCACCATGGCAACAGATAAATAAAGATCAGAGCCTCTATTTAAAATCCAGTGGACTAATATGAATCTTAGTGTGGTCCGTGACATTTATATTAAAGAACCGGATGGAAGAAAAGAGCTTTGTCTACTTAGTGATAATCACAGACAGTGCAGTTTACACTCATCATGATAATTTGGGACTTTTATTGATTTCTTTGAACTGTTCTTTTTACATGTTGAAATGATCGTGCAGCACACATCTTTAATAACCTTAAAAAATACAAGAACTGAGTACACAAGTTTGAATTTAATTTAGATTTGTCTAAACCACACAGGGTCAAAATTATACATGCACCCCAGCTAATCTTTCTTAAATGTCCCTTAGCAAGTTGCACCTCAAACAGACCTCAAGCTGCAGCTCTACAAGCTGAAGTTCGTTTAAAATGGTTGGTTTCCTGGCATAAATTTGTTTTTTTAAGCATAGTTCACAGATTTTCAATAGGATTCTGGTCCAGACTTTCAGAAAGCTATCCCAGAAGCTTAATGCCAGCCTGCTTTATTCCTTCCAACACTGGTTTTAATGTGTGTTTGGGATCATTGTCCTGCTGGAACACCCAGTTGTGTCCAAGTTTCAATGGTCTAGCTCTGAATTTGAGATAAAGTTGAAGAATTTGTCAATAATCGTCCTTCATTATTCTATCCACATTGTGCAATGTACCCGCACCACTGACAGCAAAACAGCCAGAGCACAATGGTACCACCGCCATGCTTGACAACTGGTACAGTGTTCTTAGGTTTTACTCCTCGAAACATACCTCTTGTCATCTCATTCTTTGTTTCATCTGACTGTAAAACTTTTTTCTAGAAGGCATTTGGCTTTTCGTGTGGGCAACTGCAAATTTCAGTTCAGTTTGAAGGTGTTGGAGATGTTTGGAGCTTTTTTCCTTGCTTGTCACCCTCTCATTTCACAGGAATGTAAAGCTGTCTTCGATGTGGACATTTCAAGCAGTTTCTAGGCATCAGTATTGGTGGTTACTGGGTTGATGCTGAGCATTTTAACAGATTTCATCTAATCTGAGGTAACAGTTTGGTTCTTCACGCAGACCATGGCATTGTGTGCTATATCTGAAGAGCTTGCACTTGCGTACAGTTGTTTGAACTGATGATCCTGGAATCTGCAGTTGTTTAGGAATGGATTGGAGCTCCTTGGACTTGCCATTGTTCTGAGTATTGGTCAATCCAATAAGTGCTGTCTATGTTGGCAAAGAGAAACTTCCAGTTTTAATCAAACATGTTCACTAATGAACGGTCTTGTGAAGTTAAAATACATTGTAGAACCTTCAACAGCACTTATTAAAAGATTTAAGTGATTGTATGTATATACTTGAATCTTCATTTTTTTCCCTGTCCAAATCTGACAGGGACAAAATGCAGGTGACATTAGGGCGTTCGGGATGTGAGACCGAGTGTTTCGGCTGATTCGGGTGTAAATCAAATCAAATCAAATCACTTTTATTGTCACATCACATGTGCAGGTACATTGGTACAGCACATGTGAGTGAAATTCTTGTGTGCGAGCTTCACAAGCAACAGAGTTGTACAAAATACAATAATGTAAACAAGCAAAATACAAGAATGGCTACATCTGAAACTAATGTAGGAGGGGTTTGTGAGTTTGTTCATGAAACCTGATAGCAAGCAGGTTAGGTTCACACAGCCTGACTCAGGAACAGTGTTTCCCTCATATCAGAGTTAACAAACTCACACTTACTGAACCTGCTTTCTGGAAGTGCACTCAAACTGGATGTAACCTATCACCATGTGAATCCAAGTCTTCTCTTGGCATCCTGAATATCTACAGCTTGGTGAAGCTTTTTGATGTTCTGGGTGGCCAATGACACGTATTTGGGCATTTGAGCTCCAGTGCGGTCCTGAACAAGGTAACTTGGCCTGACTCCACTAAAAACAGGACCGGACCCACCTCCGATCCCTTCCCTCGCAGCTTTACAAAGTGGAAACACGTTTCGCTGAGCCTCTGCTGCAGCATTGATGATTTGCTGTGAATACTGCTGGAAGCGTTTTTCCTCTTCAGCGATGAGTTCTGCATTCTTCACTTCAAACTCATGTTCCTGTTGTCTCAGCTGCTGAAGTCTGGCACCTTTTTCAGCCTGTATTTGCAAGGCAAAGGCAAACGAGTTTCAGTGAAGAAGGTGCAAAGTTTCTGATTAAAACTTAAGTTTTGGCCGACATTACCATTTGCGCAGCATTGAAGTCTTGCACCTCTCTTTCTTCTTCTCTGATTTTCTTAACCTTTAGTTGCTGCTTCTCAGTAAATATTCTGTCAGCCTCTTTCTTGGCCTGCAGTGCTTCTTGGGCCTTCTTCCTCTCTATTTTGTCCTTCTCCTCCTTCTCTTGTCTCTGGTAAAACAGTTTGCATTACACACATGATTACATTTTGTCAGCAACAATATGGATTTCTCTACACAGAAAAGACACATTGGAGGATATACATACACTGTGATGGTATATTGAAATGAATAGAGCTTGTGTACCACTTTGGAATATTTAAACATCTGCAACTCAGGGATCTTCTAACCCTAACCCATGTAGTTTACGAGCACCCAAAGCTGTTGAGCTCATAAATAAAGCTCTTAAGAAGACATGGGAAAGTGATTTAAGTCTGAAACAGGATGAAAAAGAATGGAAAATAATGTATACGAGCAGTAAAAGGTATTTAAGGTACGACTTATTCAATTTAAGATCATGCATTGCCTTACTTTCTGTATACTGTTGAATACCATTATAAATGTGTCCATTAAAAATAAAGAATGCATTTACAACGAGACATTTATGTGATGAGATGTGTTGGGGCAGGAGAGAGGATTGTGTTTTTTTCTTCTAAGTTTAAATAAAACTGTTAATTGGGGGGGGGGGCATGGCACGACATTAAGAAAAATTGGACTTAGAGGAAACACACTGGATGTTTCATGCTCGGTTTGAGATACCATTAGCTCTCTGTGTACACTGATGGACTTCAACATTGCAGCTTTCTTCTCATCCTCCTCCAGTTGCTGCTGCGCCTGTTTTGCCTCGCTCTCTGCGACAGCCTTTGCGATCTTCTGCTCCTCGCTGACAGCTTGCTCCTGCTGTGTGACCGTCAGTTTGTTTATGATCCTGTCTCTACGTGTCTGGGCCTCTCTAGAGAAGAAAATGCATACGAGTATCCATTATATTTAAGAAGATGTAGCACTGGAGATACTTTGATCCAGAGCTATTTATTGATATATACTGTTTTACTCTGTCTTACCTAAGCAGCTCTTTTTCTTTTTCTTTGCGTAACTTGATGATTTTTTGCTTAGTAGAGAGAAACAGTTTCCTTTGCTCCTCTTCAGCTTCCTGTTTCTGAGCATCCGTGGCTCTTACGAGGTCTCTGTTGGTGATATGCTCCTGTAAAATGCATTAAATAAACTTAATGTCCAGTGAACTAAATACTAGATAAGATTCAGATAAGAGCCTACCTGGCGAGCTTGCATGAGGCTTCTTTTCTGATTTGCTTGTCTTTCTGCCTCCATCCTTCGCTCCAGCTGATGCAGCGCTTGGAGACGCTGGATTTCGTCTCCATCCTTCTTGCTCTCCAGCTTCTGTCGCTCTCTCAGCAGCTCATTTTCTTTTATTCTGAGGAAAAGTAATCATATAATTGTCATTGTCCTGGGGTTGTGGTGTTTTGGGGATTTTAAATTCTTAACACATACAGCTGGAGACTGATTGTTAGGTCTTACTGGTTTCTCAGGTCTTCTGCAGCAACCTGTCTCACAAGCTTCCTCTGCATTGCCTTCTCCTGCTCCTGTTTCGAGGCTTCATCCTCTCTAGTCTGTACCATATGCAGAAATGCTTTGTCCACATCTATATTGGCACTCTTTCTTCTTTGTTTAAGCTCAATCTGAGCATCCCTCTCCTTCAGCACCTCTGTCAGCAGGAGTGCACTCTGTGGAGGAAGTGTTAATCATTTGTTAGGTGAAATTGTGTAGTTTTATACACAAGTGGCATAATAATGCACAAGCGAGACTAACATGTAGTCCTTTGACTCTGTCGGTTTGACAGTAGAGCTGAGTCTTGGCTTTTTCAATAATCTCCTTCCGCCTCTGCTCCTGGTATTTTGCTTCTTCTAAATCAGCCAGTCTCATTTGCTCCTCCTCAATTTCCTTTCGAATCTTCTTTTCCTGCAGCCTTTTCAGCCTTTGTCCCTGTGACAAGACATAAGTGTACGTAAGATGCAGTGTGTTTTTGTCTTTGTGTTCCAGCTCCTTTCAACCTAGTAAGTGCACATGACTTTATTAGTATAAATCTAATCTTAGGAAATGTCTCTCAACATGGAACTTACATGGAGGGTATCAGGCCAAAGTTTCACCACCTCCTGTGACTGCAGGTGTAGGTTCTCTCGCTGTTTAGCTGCCTCTCTTATTCTCTTCTCTTCTTTATTAACCCCACACAGTTCATCTTGAATCCTCAGCCATTCAGTCTTACGTAAGACAGTAACATGTCGGAGGTCTGGTGGCTGCATAGCTCTAATGGCTTCATCTGCTGACACATTAATAAAGAAATTACCACTGGAACATGTGCTACAGCAACCACTGATCACACCAAGGTTCCTACTACGTCCCTAGAAGATATTATACTCATATAGAGAAAAAACCACAACACCCCACTTGTAAAATAACTGACTTTCATAGTTGTACTTCTTGGTTGAAGTGAAGTGAAGCAGGATCTTGGAAAGACTTTCAAAATTTAAAATCAAAGCACTTATAGGCTAATAGCCTCGACAAACAAATAGCTTAAATAAATGAGCATTACATTCGGCTCCATCTAGAGTTTTTGGTTCAATAATGGCTTAAAACGGCTCTGGTAGCAAAGGTTAACTATATAACTACACATAATAAACTTTGAAATATATGTTTGGCTCTCACCATTCTTACTAGCTCCTCTACGACGGCCGTACAGAACCACCGCTGCCATTCCTATCGGATGGAGTGGCTACTATTATAGAAAATAACGTCAAACACAAAAAACAAAGTAAAGGTTCTCTTTTATTTTATTATAGTTGAAAGCTGGCGTTCGTCAGACTGCCCGCTCTACGTAGCCTGAGTTTGTTGCGTCGTATCCAGGCAATGACGGAACCAATCAGAATCATCCTCTGAATACTGATAGGCAGAGCCCTCGGAGGGTCAGCGGGGCTCAGGAAGTGATTAACAGGTGTTGTGCCAAAAAGTGATTGTCTGCCAAAAACTGATTTCCGGTATTTGCCAAAAACTGATTGCTCGTATTTAAACTGCTATAAGTAACTTGTTGGGCTATACTATGTGAAACATATGTCAAATGCATCCCTCATGGATGACATAAAGTCATCTTGAGCCACAAACAACATTCGTGTAACAAGGTAGAAGCCGCAATCAGTTTTTGGCAGTGACTTTTATCTAATAAAAAAATCTCATTAACATTAAAAATGTCTTTTGTAAGAGTAAGTTGGCCAAGAGGACAGCAGAAATGGCAGCAAATATTACAATATTTCTGTAAAAATATTTTAAGTGGGGATAAAGGACCGGATTGGTTATAATGTAAGTACAATAGCAGAGAGTTGTAAAGATACTTGAAAAACAGATATTGTTTTAATTCTCTATATAACCCCTTTGTAAACCCTGTTCACCGAAGTCTATTTACGAACATACGTAAAGATATTACACATAAAAAATACACAGAAACATTGGAAATCAGTTTTTGGCAGACAATCACTTTTTGGCACAACACCTGAACACCGGCATGTGAACACAGAGAGAAAGCTCTGTTTTTCTCAAATTAGTAGGCAATAAATCCATTGATCTACAACAGTTTTTTATACCGCAGTCAAGTGTATACACACTCGTATACACTCTGAATTCATTATGTAAAAAACTAGGGAAAATGAATGGCGTGACACACGTTTTTTTGTGATCTTTCCATAGTTATACACAATTTCTGCATGGGGATGCATGTTCAGTTAGCTCACTGACACCAAGAGGAGAAAAGTGGTTGTCTAAACTTAGAAAGAACAATCTTGTCTATGGTTTAAAACAACATCAAAAATGTAAATTATTTTTTTCTAAGCACCACATTTGTACTTTGTACAAATTTGTTTTTTTTCTTACAAACATAGACCAGAACCCTGTAAAGTACAATGTTTGGTTTATTAAAAACAACAAGCAGGTAAAGTTTTTCTCATTGCAGTCTTCAGGCTGAGTCCACCTGTGATTCACGTGCTGACAGTTAGGGCTCAGTTTTTACTACTTTTACTAGTCTGATGTGTCAAAAATATGCCCACTGACAAAGCCTGTAGTTATGAAAAAATGTCAAAAGAGTAACTGAAAGTAATAGATGAATGGTTCATAAAGTTTTTATTTACAGTATACTAATTAAACATGATGGGAAATCTGATGACAAAGATGGAGTCTCTGATTTGGACAGTGATTCTGGTTTGTAATAGGACTCCTGGCAATTTCAGATTAAGTCATTTTGTTGTCTTTACTCTTGTTTAAGATCTTGGTCTATGAAATCCATTGTAAAATCTGGTCCTTTAGGCATATGCAGCTGTGTAATCATGACAGATGTGCTAAATTTACTGAGCCAGCAGTGAAACATGGCCTGTCATGTGCTGCCTAATGAGTCAGGTGATGAACAGTGTCTGTTGAATTAAGACTCGCCTGACCTGACTTACTGTTAAATGGGGAGAGTTATGGACCAATTTGATCTTTAGGTGATCACATCTCTCAGATCCTTTACTTTGCTACTTATGTTTCAGCTGTTATAGTTTATACTCAGTTATTTGATAGAGTTTTGAAGGTTATTCTGAACTGTGTTTCATACAAGGCTATGCTGGTAAACTCTGAGAAACAAAATATGGATCTAGAAATAAGCATAATCAACACCTCATGATTAGAATTTGTTTTCAATTTGTAGCAGAGTTTCACTGAATGTCGGAGACAGGCTAAGAATAATATTTTTCTACTGTTTCTACTTAGTAAAGGTAAAGTACTTCATAGTACTTACAAACTAAAGATGTATCCCTTTCCAGCTATGAATGCAGTTTATGTGTTCACTTTTATTTGCAATCTTTCAGCTTCATTTTTTCTAATTTGTACAGCATACAATTCATATATTATCCCTGGTATAACTAAAAACTATGCATCGTTTAGAGTCTCGAGTTAGGGATTGGTGTATGGATAAGCTACACTTAGTAACCTTAATATCATCTGATAGTTGCTATACTGCTTGTATTACATTTAATAAGCCATTGCTGCTCTATTGAATTTACAATATTTTACCTTTTTATATATTATTTTTTATTTCAGTTTACACTCATTTCCCTTCAGTATATGTATCTGTTTAGATTAGTTTGATACTTATTGATATATTTTTGTCCTATTCTGTTTTATTCAGCAACATATCATTCTACTTATTGGCACTATTTCTTATATGTATTGTGTGTTTGTCTTAGTTTTTAACTGCTCTAACAAAAGCATTTTCCATCTTTGCCATAAAGGAAATATATCCTATCCCATCATATAAAATAAAAGCTAGCAATCAGTTAAAGAAAATCTCAAGTTGACAAATAAAAGTATGTACAAAATAAAACACCTTATCCAAATAAAATCCAAGTCAATAGAAATTTTTAAATGAGGATTTCATTTATCAAGGGAAAAAAGTTTACAAGCCTGGCCCTATATGAAAAGGAATAATGAATTAACTGTGATAAACCATTGATTTTGGAAAGTTAAGCTTCATTAGCTAATACGAAGCCTTATTGCTGCCAGACTTGTTGAATCCAGAAATCACTTAAATAGAACCTGTCTGACAACGTGAAGAAGGCTAAAAGCTCTCAAAATCTAAAGAAACAGCTGAGAAACAAAGTCATTGACATCTATCCGTCTGAAAATGGAAATGAAAATTACTCCAAATGACTGCGTTCTGCTTTTTCAGGTGCTTCCATGACATGACTCCAGAAGGACATAAAATAACTCAACTGCAGGCCTCACCTGCCTCAGTTAAAGTCGGCATTCATTATTTAATAATAAGAAAGAGACTGGGTAAAAAATATCATCCATGGGAGAACTCCAAAGAGCTGAGCAAAAAGAACACAAAGGCTCATCTCACATTCACCAAAAGAAACCTTATATAATATGAGTTTAATTTTTATGAAGCTTTGAGTCCCGTTAAATCTGACATAAAACTAATACAGCATTTCATTTAAAAACAAAACAAAATATCACATCAGCATGGTGGTGGTAGTGTGATAGCCTGTGGCAGGACAGTGATATGAAGCACACCAGCAAGTCCACTGAATGTCCCCAAAAAATAAAAGGAAGGTTAGATGGAAGATTGAGATGCTTTGACCTGACCTTAAACTGGCTATTCACACCAAACGTCTCCCACTGTGGCTCATTAAAGCATTTCTGCAAAGAAGAGTGGGCCAAAATTCCTCCATGTGAAATGTGAAAGACTCATTGCCAGTTATCACAAAAGCTTGATCGCAGTTCTTGCTGCAGAAGTGGCACAAGTAGTTATCAGGTTTAGGAATAGCTTTTTTTCACTTAATAATTTGAATTATGGTTTAAAAACTGCTTTTATATGTATGTGTGACAAATGTGCAAAATAATAAATAACGCTGATCCATTTTAACAGGAGGCTGTTGCTAACCTTGAACCAGCACTACGTACGTGTAGTCTTACAAACCAAAAGCCAGTATTAGCCTCAGTTAGAGTACTTCTGCACTTTTATTTTGAATGCAGGCCATTTCCAGGATTTCCAGTATGCATTGTTCGGATTTGACTTTCTATGCTTTGAGAGCTGCAGGCGGATCCACGTAGAAAGGGGGCGTCTTAAATCAGAGACGACCATTCAAAACCGGCAGAAGGAAAAAAAAAAAAGAAAAAAGAAGCAACACCCCGATCCATCCATCCATCTCTTCTCCCAGATCACTCAGCACCCACCGGTGGCCCACCAACGAGAGACCCGCAGAGAAAACACCAAGATGGCCCCGATCTCCATCAAAACCGTGCTGATTAGTGAAAGTGTCGACCCTCGCTGCAAGGCGATTCTGGAGGAAAATGGCATCCGAGTCACGGAGAAGCAGAACATGACTAAGGATGAATTAATCGCGGAGATAGAGGTAGTAATGGCACTCTGCGTTATATTGCGTGATTTCTTCACATGCACCCGCTGTCGGGTTTATTTTTTTCTTCGTACCAAGCAGGTTTCTATAAAGTTTAGTCTAAAGCCGCTTTCGCTCTAATCGGTGCGCATGTGCCCCTGCACGCCTAAAAAAGTTTTTGCGGACTAGCAGCCGGCATTTTTTATTCCGTAACACAATTCAACCTGACACGTGTAATTAAATGATCCCGACAGCCAGTTAAAAACTGATTTATTCGGTTAGTACCGCCCATTGTGAAGCTGATGCAACTCATTCGTGGTGTTGTGACTATTGCCGCACGGTCAGACCTCCTATCTGCTGCAAGTGCATCGGGCGGCCATTGATTCCACTTTTACCCCCAACCCAAACTATTCCATTAATCCCACATTTTCTCCACAGAGCCAATGTGTGTATGTCTAAGAATATTTGAACAAATTCAATTTGTCAGATTAGAAATAATGAGCTGTTCTCATGTAAGCTGAATGGACTGTACAGGGCTGGCTCTAAAACTTCTGGTGCCCTAAATGACATGAGGCCCCTGCAGGGGTGTCTTTGTATTGTATTGTTGTATTGTTGTATTGTACACCCTGGGGCTGTGAGCCTTTTGGAGCCCCCATAGTCCAAAATGTATTTATTTTAAAAAAATTTATTTTAGCCTATTCTCAATAAACATTTCAATGTTGAATGACCATTGGATGGCTGTACTTTCTCAGCATCTAGTCTTAAATAAAAAACAACAACAACATAGCTCTGAGATGAAAATGGACTGGTTGTGTTGCTTAAATAATGCCTGTACATCCTTGTTGGGCTTTCTAGCAAGAAAAAGCTTCTGTTCAAGAATTTTTAAATGATTTATTATGCTTTTGTCCTCTAGAATAAAATAAGTCAAGAATATACACCACAAGGGTAACTCAAAGTGTTCATCTCTCACACTGAGCTAACTGATCTAATAACTGGCTGCAACACAGGCTAATAAATCACCATGCAACAAATGGGATAGAATTTACATGAAGATCAACATAAGCGGCTTAAAAGTGTCCTTTATAGTTAATAAGAATAACATTTGGTAATAGTAGTGTGTGTGTGTGTGTGTGTGTACACGAACCAGATGTTGTTTGGCACCCTGCTGACAACTATTTAACAACGTTATCAGTCAGATGTCATTTTGCAGCATGATCAGTTTTGAATGCTGCAGTTTCAACCATTAAAAAAAAATCTTTAAGATCTTTGTTTTTTTGTTTGTTTGGGTTTTTTTTTAGCTTTTTAGTCTGTATTTAGACAGGAAAGTGGAAAGAAGAGAGGGAAATCTGAGAGCAGGAAAAAGACACACAGTGAATGGTCTTGAAGCAGATTCAAACCCAGAACTCGGCACCTGAAACAACACCTGTCTGTGTCATGTCATGTGACATGACATGACACAGACAGAGAGATAAAATCACATTTTATTGTGGAAAAAAGTTATTTGCATGGTTAGCAGGTGTCCCCCTGGCAATGGGAAACTATAGAAGTCCATGTTACATTGTAACAGGGGAAAAAACCCCACTATAACCTGTCTTGTAACATTTCTGGTTGGACAGAGGTAAATCATTTGGCATAAAACAGGCCAAAGATCAGTGTTAGAAATGAGGAATTAATGAGAATTATTTAGTAAGTATATCATATCCTGGCATAGGATTTTTGACTGGTTCACAGTTTTTATGCTGCTCAAAATAACTGACACCCATTGACTCTGTGTGAACTATTGGGTGTATTTAAAACAGCTCTGCTTCTTTCTGAATCTCAGGACTATGATGGCCTCGTGGTTAGATCTGCAACCAAGGTAACAGCTGATGTTATCAGTGCTGCTAATAATCTCCAAATTATTGGAAGAGCTGGGACCGGTGTGGACAACGTAGATGTTCCTGCCGCTACCAAAAAGGGCATTATTGTCATGAAGTAAGCCTCCAGTTTAAATGCAGATTTTCTTCACTGTGCAGTTCCAGTATACCACTGACTTTACTTTATAACTGTGTTTTTCTGCAGCACGCCGAGTGGCAACACGATCAGTGCTGCTGAGCTGACATGTGCTCTGCTCATGAGCCTCTCAAGGCAAGACGAGTCATGTCATTTCTGAACAATTGCAGAGAAACTCTGTGGTTGTAATTGAAGTGCAGTAATATTCCATTATTACGTTGATCTGTTTTCAGAAATGTGCCACAAGCAGCGATGTCAATGAAGCAAGGAAACTGGGATCGCAAGAAGGTAAAAGCATTTTCGCTTGCTCTCCAGTGTGCTGTTTGAACGGCTGTTTGCACTGGGAGCATCAAGCCATTACTGTTGCATGGTTGGCTCCATTGTCCACTCAGTTGTGAATAATCAGATGGGACACTTGGATCTGTGTACTTTGAGATTTTTGGAGGTGGGTCATTGTTTTGCTTCCGATTTTTCAGTTCATGGGCGCAGAGCTGTACGGCAAAGTGCTCGGAATAGTCGGACTTGGAAGAATAGGAAAGGAGGTCGCCTCGAGGATGCAGTCATTTGGCATGAGGGTCAGCATACGATATCTGCTCACTGTTACTGTGATATTTAAAATAAACAGGCATAAAAAGATGACAGGTTGTTTTCTCCTTAACAGACTATTGGCTATGATCCAATCACTCCTCCAGAGGTGTCAGCCAGCTGGGGAGTGGAACAGATGTCTCTGGAGCAGCTCTGGCCCCAGTGTGACTACATCACTGTCCACACTCCCCTGTTGCCCTCTACTGTCGGTGAGCTAAACACCAATCATATGTCGGTCGATTATAACGGTGGCGCAAAGTCCATATGCAAGATGTGGAATTTCTCTTTGATGTTCCCAAGGTCTGCTTAACGATGAAAGCTTTGCCAAGTGCAAGAAAGGCGTGAAGGTTGTGAACTGTGCAAGAGGGGGCATCATCGATGAGGAGGCTCTGCTCAGAGCCTTGGAGTCTGGACAGTGTGGAGGAGCAGGCCTTGACGTCTTTGTGGAGGTTTTTCTTTTTGTCAAATTGATTGATTGACTTTATTTTTATTAAATAAAGAGATGTTGTTGCTTAAATTTCACATTGTCTTTATGTTTTTGGCTACAGGAGCCACCTAAGAACCACTCACTGGTGGAGCATCCCAATGTCATCAGCTGCCCTCACCTGGGAGCCAGTACGAAGGAGGCTCAGGCTCGCTGTGGGGAGGACATTGCCCTGCAGATCGTGGACATGGTGAAGGGAAAGAACCTGGTCGGAGCAGTAAGTCCTACATGCTCTTCTTAATACTGTGTTTAAAAAATAACTCCTCAGACCAGAGTTATAAATTTGCTAAAGGGCTACTGAAGTGATTGTTTGGCGGATTTGTGTAAAATGAATCGCTAAAGAAGCCTAAATATTCTCAAGCTTCAAAAGCATCACTATCAACAAATCAGACTTCATACCCACAGTTATCTGTACAGGAAGTAGTGGACTGTTTTACAGACTGTCGTGCAGCAGGTCAGTAGAAAACAGGAACCTAATGGATATCACAGCAGTGGTTATTAGCTTTCTTTGTCAAGCCAGGCTTTCTGCTTCGGGTTCTGTCCACACTTGCCATAAAGTAGGAATTTGATGCATCATTTCACTTTTCATCTGCACAAAATGGACAGCAGAATATGTCAAGTATTATCAGATAAGCAGATGATTATAAAGCTGTGAAGAATATAAAAAATAAAACTGCAGCGCTGTTTCTGGAAATAAGACAAGCGAGCAATGCTCGCAGAAAACCGTCAGTCTCAGGAATTTGTGAGTTAAATTTTTTTTTATTTCTTTTACTCCATGTGCCGTCAGTGCTGCAGTTTATTTTGAATATGACAGCTGCACATTGGACATCTGGAGCTTTAAAACTGATATATTTTATTGTTTGTTTAGTACAAAAAACATAAAGCAAACAGTGGTGATACATACAAAGAAACAGAGACTGAGCAGGAAACAGTATCAGTAGATAATCCAGTTTGATCACATTTGGAGGGTGTTGGTAAAAAAAAATTATAAAAAAACAAACCCTCTACTAAAATAAATAATTATAACCTTTTTTTTAAAAAAAGAAAAAAGAATGATTTTGTAACAGATTTTAAACTGTTCTCCTTATGCAGGTAAATGCTCAGGTCTTGGCTAGCACGTTCTCCCAGGAGTCGCAGCAACTGATTAAACTCGGAGAAGCCGTTGGATCTGTTCTTCAGTCTTTCAGCGCGTCTAAGAAACCATTCAGTCACGTTCAAATTACTACACAAGGTAACATTTCTGGTTTAACCAGTTTCCTGTAACCAAGCGACCTCAAGGAGAGTTCATCTCATAGGAAGGAAAAATACTAGGAAGCAGTTTTTCCTCCCTCTGCTGGTGTCACAGTGAAACTGTCCAATCAGTCGTGTGGGTTTATAAGCTATTATAGGAATATCACTTCTGTGTAATTTCTTTTGTCTTTTTTTTTCTAAAACAGTTTTACTTTAAAATATTTTGCCTATAATTAAAAGCTTTTTGCACTCTGCTCAACAAACCAGGGGATTGCATGAAGTCCTCCACTGGTTACATGACTTCAGCTGTGCTGGTGGGTTTACTCAATCATGAATCAGGATGTTGCCCGAACCTCATCAACGCGCTGAGCTTAGCTAAGGAAACTGGAATCACGGTACACCGTCAATTTATTCAGGCAAATAAAACATGAGAAAAACAAGTGGAATATATGTCAAATAAATCTTTTTCCTTTATCTCAACTTCTTCAGGTTTACCAGGCCCACTGTGCATCTGCCGGGGCCACTGAAGGCGTGTGTAAGGTGGAGATTGCGGCCAATGGCTGCAGCTACAAAGCCAGCGGTTCAGTTCAAGGTGGAGCGCCTGTCCTCCTGGAGCTGTGCAACAGCGTGTTCAGACAGCCCATCTCTCTCACTGGAAATCTGCTGTTCTTTAAGGCCCCTGCGAATCCTCAACTCCTGTCCTCACTGGCTGGTAAGAAAATGTAGACATCAAAACTATAATCTGTGAATATAAAAGATTTCACTGTACACAAATGGCCTTCACAGTCATCAAATCTTTGGGACATGGTTGAAGCACAGATGTGCTGCCAACAAATCTGTAGCAACTGTGCAATTCTATCATATCAATACTGGTTTGTTTCAGCACCTGTTTGAATCCATGCAACAAAGTATTAAGCGAGAGAAAAAGCAGGTCCAACCCAGTAGTGCAATAGAGTCGCCACCCTCTGGACAATAGATAGAATGCACAAACTCTCCCTCATTGTATATTCAAATGTATATTCAACATTCACAATCAGTAACTGAGAAAAGTTTCTTTTCAGTCTTTTACGAATTAATTTATGACTTCCATTAGTTCCATCAGTTTTGGAGGCTAAGGCAGTAACCTTAAACACAATATAAAGAGTCAAAATTGTTTCTCACTTCAGAACAATTAAATGGAAAGTTTAGGTTGGTGGTAGATAGTTTGCTTGTCTGTTAAAATGTGTGTCTGAAAACAAAGCATGCATTCTTGTTGTTTTTCCTCAACTGCTTCTTTACGCACATTTGTTTTCGAGTTTGAATTTAGATGAAAGCTGGCCCTGAGTTGTGAGAACTAAATTGTAACCTTCACCATGTTTCTTTTCTTTCCATTCACACCTATTTTCTCTCTTCAATTGTTCTTTGTTTAGGAGTGTTGGCCACAGAGGGAGTGGAGATTGAGTCTTTCAGTGCTCCTGCAGACCGCTCTGGGGATCTGTGGTATTGTGTGGGGGTGTCCTCTCTCTTGAGAGATCTCAGTGCCTTGAACTCCGTGGTGAAGGATGCAGCGCAGCTCAGCTTTTAAATGACAGCGCAAAGCACTTACAGAGGCACTGAATAGCATTCAGGATGTGAGATCTGTAACATTTTCAGGAGCGTCTAATATAAATGATCCAGTCTTTGTGTTTACAGCTAACAACTTGTGCAGAAGTTGCAGTTTAAAACCTGCATTTTATAACATTCCAGTGTTTAGATGTTTTTATTAACTTGTAGAAGTAGAAATTAAATAAAAATGTTCGTTGTACGCTGCTCAGTTTGTTGTATGATCCTTTTAAAGAAGACTTTCTAATTTGAACGCCTTATATTTGAATATTTTAAAAATACTTCACTACACAGCTCGAGTTCAGTACGACAGCCCTTCAATAATTCCTCTATTAAAATGTTCAATGTGTGATTTGTGTCGGTTCTATGGGGGGGTTTTTTTGCCCCACTGTTATTAATTTTTGGTAAGATTACACAGTAAAGGGCTGCACAACACATCCCAGAGCTAGTGGCAGAAAGCTGCTTTGTAGGTTGTAGCAAGCAAGCAACAACACAACTTTTTTTCACATGTAAATCTGTTCCTGTGGCATCATGGAAATCTCACTCACTTTAGATCATCTCATCTCACTACTTTCCACTTCTAAATAAGAATACATTTCAGCTCATTGTCTCAAAACAGAGTAGCCAGAAATAGGCATTTACTTTCTGTAGACCTTCAGAAAATATGAGTCCTACCACATGCAGTGCATATGCTCAGTTCTCTGAATCCTTAAGCAAAGATATATTTTACTCCATCCTCCCAGAAAACCACAGTGGATGCCACAGTAGTGTATTTTTCAACAATAAATAAATAAAGAGATTAAATAATGGAATCTGTGGAATCGTTGCATGAAAAACTTAATTCAATCTGTGTCCAATCTGTGTCCGCTACCTAATCAGTCATGCAGTTAGTCCAGCCTACACAGCAATCTGTTTAATCCACAGCAAAGTGCTATGGCTTGTGGTAAATATCAGATACAACAGTCCTTCTTCTGCATCCATATATTGGATGATGGATTTGAAACAAGCATTTCACATTTGGATTGTTCACTTTTTAACGACCTGTTGTCACTGATTTTCAGTAAAGTTGTTGTGTAATTTTGCATACCTCAGGCTTTTCTTCCTCATTTCCCTTCCTTAAGAACGACTTCTTGACAGCCACCTTGAGACGATTTCTAATGTCACCAGTAGATGGATAAACTTTAGGACCTAAAGCATCTCTCAGGTCTTGTGTCAGGTCTTTGCTGTTTTTTCCCCCCTTCTTTCTTAAGAACGTGACTTTTAGATACTGTTCGTCTGCTGAACACAGAGTTTGATTTTTTAGGCCTGCAAGCTTTTGTTTGTCCTTTGCTTGTCCAGTTTCTTAATTTTTATTAAGGACACAGTGAATGGCATGCTGCCATATGCCGTTTTTTTTTTTGTCTAATAGCTCTTTAGAAATCATGCTGTTGTTGCAATGCCTGTCAAACTGTGATGGAATTTTTCATAGATTCAACTAAAGGAACAAATTAGGTGTTTGTACGATAAAGTGGCTAAGGATACAATTTATAATTGGTTCTTTGCTAAGTTGTCTGTTATGTGTATACACAACACTGGTTCATCCCTTGATTAAGGTGGCTTTTTATGCTTGAATGATTCATATATCAATGTTAAAGTGCTTGACAAAACAAAACAGAAAATCTCTATGAAAATTTTGAGGTGCAAGAGCTGGACTGAAAATAAGTGAAAAAGCAGCCAATGTGCAAAGGGCCTTCAGAAAGCCCAGAGAGCTATCCCCTAAGACCACCTGAAACAAAATTACAAGTCTGGCTCATTGGAAGCAAACTATAAAGAAGTTAGCTCAAGTTTTTTTGCACGTTAATATAAAATTAAAAAATTTCACCCGTTCACACAGACTTACTACTGTGTTACATAAAACCGGTTATGATGTTGTAACAAAGAGACAAAGTGCGATTCATTTTGAAAGTTTAATTCGATATTTTACCTCAGTTGGCTGTTTTATCAACATCAGTCGTTTGATTTATAAGTTAAACGTTCAGAAAATACTGAGTGGGACCGTCGCAGTGCTCATTTTAACAACAGTTAAACGATAGAATACATTCATGAATAAAATCCTTCATTGGACTAAAAAGAAAAGAATCAGCATGTTTCACGGAAGGTAACTTTTTTATGAACATTTATGCAAAACAGCTGCCAGTCAAATCTCTGTCACTTAGCCATTAAGTTATGCATTGAGTCCAGTCTGCACCGCTGTCCCCTTTGATTCAGCATTAAGCGTTAAACTCTCAGGTAACAGCAGTGACCTGCCTCTCTGTTGCTTTATAAACCCAGGCGGCTTGTTATGGGGCACAAAAAACAATCTGTTTTTAAAAAAAGGTTTTACAAAGGCTCTGTTATTGCTAGTTCTAATGCAGTAATATTGTTTCATTATATATGATTTGCTGAGATTAACACATATTCCGTCTCTGCAGCCCTGTGCTGTTAATCCTCGTTAGGATTAGCTAAAGCCTTTACCGCACTCGAATTGGGTTCAGAATACCATGGCAACGCCAAGAATGGTGAACACATGAATGGACCAGTGCAATGACTTCTTCTTCGTCGTCGTCTTCCCTTTCTCCTTCTTGCGCCCTAGTAAAAAGCGACGCTCATTTGTATACTATTTGTATTCTGTTTGCGCCTGCTGGGTGCACAGAAAATGTGCCGTTCGTGAGCGCGTCACGAGACTGTGGATGGATGGAGGTTATATTTAGACTCTGAGAGAAAACGGTGGGGTTGGGTGATTCCTCTGAAGGAGTTTTGTCAAGGACCCGCTGTTTGAGACTACAGAGCAGAGGAGAGGAGAAGAGAGGAGGAGGAGGGGGTTATGGACGCTGCGCACAAATACCAAAATAGGATCGAGCTGCCTGCCTGCGACTGTCCTGCGTGAGCTAAATTGAGGCTCATGTGTGGTGGAGACGGGAGAGCTTGAGGACAGTGTGGAAGGAGAGACAGAAAAAAAAGCTCGAGTCATTCATGGAAATAGGGTGAGTGGTAGTCAAGCAGTGTGTCTGCTTGGATACATGGATTAAAGCGTAAATGCGACGACTCTTCTATGACCAGTCACACTGCAATTAATTATAAATGGGAATGTGACGCCTCGGTATTGCTTTGATGTTCGCCAGCCCACTGTGTGTGTGTGTGTGTGTGTGTGTGTGTGTGTGTGTGTGTGTGTGTGTGTGTGTGTGTGTGTGTGTGTGTGTTTGGCTTACATTAGACACATACTTTCTCCATCTCTCTTTTCTAGATATCATGTCACATAAACAAGCCGAAATCTACACATATGACTTCTGTGATGGTGACCATCCGGCAGAGCTCCTGGATGCGCTCAGGCACTTCTACATTAGCGGGCTGTTTACCGATGTCGCTCTGCAGTGTGGCGAGTCGGGACAGGTGTTTCACTGCCACAAGGCGCTGCTGTCAGCCCGCAGCTCCTATTTCAAAGTCATGTTCACAGCTGACATGAAGGAGAGATCAAACAGCGTCATCAAACTGAGCGGCATAGACTACGGGGTGCTGGGTGCTCTGGTGGACTATGTGTACACTGCTCAGGTGTGCATCACTGAGAGCAACGTACAGAGCCTGCTGGAGGCTGCAGACCTGCTGCAGTTCGTTCCTGTGAAGCAAGCATGTGAGGAGTTTCTCATTCGCCTCCTGGATGTCGACAACTGCCTGGGCATGCACACTTTCGCTGAGCTGCACCTGTGCCCTGGGCTGGAGAGGGAGGCACGCAGAGTGATGCTGAGCAGGTTCCCGGAGCTCATTCAGCAGGAGGAGTTTCTAGAGCTGCACCCTGAGAAGATGAGAGAAGTCTTGGCTGTACAGAGCCTCACTGTGCAGAAAGATGAAGTGTTGATAGATGCTCTCGCCACATGGGTAAACCATGACTTAGATAATCGCATACACCACGTTTCAATTATGCTACATTCCATCCATCTGGATCTGGATGAGATTTACTTTAAGACCACGTTAGACGTGTATAGACAATACTTAAAGAAGAATGATGGGAAATTGAAATCTGTAATCATCCAGGCTTTAAGGTCAAATGGAAAAGAGATACCTGCGGCTAGAAAAATGTCTGCCAACATGTATATCATTGGAGGGTACTATTGGCACCCCCTTTGTGAAGTCCACATCTGGGATCCTATCAGCAACACATGGGTGCAAGGAAAGGACATGCCCAACCATGCAAGAGAGAGCTACAGCGTCAGTTTACTTGGTGCAAATATCTATGTGACAGGTGGCTACAAGACAAACACTGTTGAGGCCCTGGACACTGTTTCAATTTATAACTGTGACTGTGATGAATGGACTGAGGGCTGCCCCATGATTACAGCCAGGTACTACCATTGCTCTGTGGCGTTGCACGGCTGCATCTATGCCATCGGAGGCTACCGGGGAGGAGCTCCAGAACGAGACACCGAATTTTATGATCCGTTAAAAAAGAAATGGTTCCCTGTGGCCAAAATGATCCAAGGTATGCTGAAATACTGGGATTGTGTTATCTCCAGGGCTGAAATGATGAGCAGGATATAAATAAATGAAGGCAGAGGAAGCAGTTTCACCACAAGGTCCATTTAGTGGAGTTGTATGAGTTCTTTATGGGCTTCTTATAGGATGAAAAGCTGTTGTTTAAAACACGCGGTCATAATACCATCTGCTGATGAAGATCATGTGATTTTTGACTGAAAGCTCCTGAGCAGTTCATACATGGAACTTGTTGTTTCTCAGTTCAAGAATGAGCATTAAAATCAAATGTCATTATATGTTTTTTTTAAACAGTATCATTGACAATCATTTATGTGACTCATACCATTTACGGTAGCAGCTATTTATTATATGTTCTGCACAGAACAACAAGCCGACAGAGTTCACATTAAGAATTGTATCCACCACCCAAAGGGAGCGAGCAGGCAGCTAACATTACAGCTCAACAGAAGGAGACACCATTAATGTTTAGATAGTGTCACACTGTTGCGAACTCATGCTTTTCAGCATGGTTAGATGAACTGTGGGGGTATAGCTTAGCAAATAATTGAGTAGTTCATAACTGAAACTGCTTGAAACAAGGTTTGCAGATTTTTGAACGACTAGGCCACAGTTTCTGCGAAAGCTGCTGAGTTTTTCCAAACAGTGCTTTGATAACCAGATGTCAAGTGCCAGTTATTTCCATTTTATTAAGGAAAAACCAGAATCTGATAGAGCTGATATCTACTAATCTGAACAACTCACACCAAAATGATCCAGATGGATAAATGGCACTACAGGCCAGAGGAAAAACATGTAATTTTGATTTTGGGTGAACTCAAGTGATGCTTATGATCTCTGTTTTCTTTGAAGGTGTAGGAAATGCTACTGCGTGTGTAATGGGTGATAAAATCTATGTAACCGGAGGTCATTATGGCTACAGAGGAAGCTGCACCTATGAAAAAACACAGGTGTACAGACCAGATGTCAACGAGTGGAGCATCATTACAATAAGTCCCCATCCAGGTATGCGTGCTAAAGCAGACCAAACAGAAGCATGAGTATATTAAATGCAGTTTTCTAAGGTGAACTCCTCTCATTTCAGAGTACGGGCTGTGTTCTGTGTCTCTCAACAACAAGCTGTATGTGGTGGGTGGACAGACGACGATTGCCGACTGCTACGACACAGAGAGAGACGAGTGGAGACCGATATCGGTGATGAAGGAGAGGAGGATGGAGTGTGGGGCCGTGGTAATAAATGGTTGTATTTACGTAACAGGTGGATACTCGTACTCCAAAGGGACTTACCTTCAAAGCATCGAGAAATATAACCCTGAGCTGGACTCGTGGGAGATAGTGGGGACTCTCCCCAGCCCGACCAGGTCACATGGCTGTATTTGTGTTTGTGGTGTTTAGTGACACAAATTTTTGTTTACTGATTATTTTGTGCCAAATGGATCTAACAGTGACTCCACTGAAGAGAGCTAATATTCCACACTTCATATTTATCTCACAGCATGTCAGCCTGCACCAGATCCTTTAGGAAGCTATTTGCCAAACTGTGAATATAGTGATGAATACCAGCTTTTCATACGAAACTCAGGGGCCTCATGTTGAGGGTTTTTTGTTTGTTTGATTGTTTGTTCAAAATAGACTGAAAAGAAATGCAAAAAAAGAGAAGATGACATTTTATAATCTAATAAGTATTATTTAAAAATCACACTACAAATAAACTTTTATTAGTAGAGGTGTACTAGGTTGTACCTTGATTAAATAAAGTACTAAAATGCTAATAAAGTTCTGTTTGAGTTCAGTGAATTTTATGGACTTAAGAAATTTATTTGGCATCTGTTAAACTGTTTGTTAACACAAATATTAAATAACCAGTCACATAGCAGCAACTCATTGCATTTAAGCACGTAAACATGTTCAAGATGATCCTGTGAAGTTCAAACTGAATGGGGATGAAAGGTGATTTAAGTAACTTTGAATGGTTGAGGGTTGTTGGCATTTCACAAACTGCTAATCCCAGATCGCTATCTCTAGGGTTTACAGAGAGAAGATGTCCAGTGAGTGGCAGTTCGCAAGTTGAAATAACTGATCCAAGACAGAATGACCAGACTGCTTTGAGCTGATAGGAAGGCAACAGTAACTCAAATAACCACTTAAAGCGGGGCTAACTTGGCAGCAGAAGACCAGACTGCATGCCACCCCTGTCAGCTAAGAACAGGAAACAGGCTACAGTACAAACAGACTCACCAAAATTTGAACAATACAAGACTGAAAAATGCTGATGAGTCTTGATTTCTGCTGCAACATTTGGATGAAAGGAATTCGGCAAAAACAACATGAAAGCACGGCTCCATCCTGCCTTGTAACAAAGGTTCAGGATTAGGGTCTTACAGTATGGGGAATATTGTTTTGGCACACTTTCAACTTCTTAGTAGCAACTGAACATTGTTTATTCACCACAGCCTTCCTGAGTATTGTTGCAGACCATGTCCATCCCTTTATGACCACAGACAGTCTGCCCATCTTCTGATGGCTGCTTCGGGCAGGATAACACTCCATGTCACAAAACTGAAAAACTGGTTTCCTGACATGACAGTGAGCTCACTGTATTCAAATGGGCCTCCACAGTCACCTCCACAGTATTTTATTCTTTTTTTTTTTTCATCTCATTCTATTCCATTGTTTTTATTAATTTTTGTTGCTGTAACTTTGCACTGTTCACTTTCTGCTGTGACACAACAAATTTCCCACGTGTGGGACTAATAAAGGTTTATCTTATCTTATCTTATCTTATCTTATCTTATCTTATCTTAAATTCAAATAATTAAAACAAGACGAGCTACATTTCATTTTTTTAAAGTTGATATCAAAAGAGAAAAATACTGATAATAATAACATCAGTCTTTTCCCAAACTTAGGTGGGTGATATTTACGTCACACATACAACAATAGAAATACAATGTAGATGTCTCCCAAAACAAAGTCAGGAAAGAGGCAAAATTATTTTAAGCTAATGAAATGTCAGCCTTGATAAAAGTCTGACCTTTCTTACAACAATCGGTGCAACTGAAGTCCTACTATAATTGTTTTTAAAAGGTACACACATCAATAAAAAACAACCTAATAAATACGAAAAACAAAAACTTTAAAATGACACATAAAAACAAAACGCCGTGATTAGAATCACAGCGGCATCTTGTGGTTGTGATATATCATCGCAGTTTATAATCCAGGTATCAAACTTAACACACTGTTCGCGTAAATACGTGACTTAGCAAAAACAAAAAACAAACAAAAAATTCTATTTTTAAGCGCGAATATGAAAAGCATAAGAATGTTTAACAGGTATAGGAACATGTAAAAAGAATACTGAAGTTTTTGGATACATTTGTAGTCTTACGTTATTTTTATTTCAGGCTTGGGAATCTTCCAGTGTTTGAAAAACAAATGCACATCGATCAGTTTGCTTAAACTTTTAAATAAGAAGGTAATGTCTTGTGATTTTAAAGTGCACTCTGGCTAAGTTTGAATTAAATTTTTTTAAACATTGTGCACTGATAAATTAAGTTTCTTAATTTTAATTTTCTGATTACCCAAATATGTACTAGAGAAAATTATTCCAAAGCATTAGCACGTATACATAATGAAAAAGACCAAATTTCTTGTTGTTCTGCTGCAGGGATCAAGCACAGAGGAGCTTGCGCGAACATGAGTCTTTTTTGGCCCTTGGTGGGCTCCGTAGCACGCAGTTCCACAACGTGCGAGCAGTGAAGTGGGGACTGTTGGTTTGAACAGCTTAAACTGCTTCTAGCTGCGACTTATTATGTAAGTGTAACTTTTTACGATTGTGAAAACAATTTTTTAAGGCTTTTTATGTTACCCAGGGAGTGTTTTATAACGTTACTAAAGAACAGAGTGGATTTTCTTCCAGCAGGTTTAAACAGCGTGCTGCAGCTAGAATAGTGTTAGCAGAGTAGCGGTGACTACTTTAATTTACCTACAAAAAAAAGTAATTCACGCACTAACAAATCATGTAATTTAGTAAAACATGTACTGATAGCGTGGATAGACAAATGAGAAGCTGCTTTTGTTGTGTTGACGCCAAGCGTGGCCCGTGTACTGAAAGAGCTAAGCTAACAAGTTAGCCGTGGAGCTAGATGAGCCCGTAGTTAATTATGGTGACTGAAACACGTCGGTTTAGTCCTGTGATGTACTACAACTCACAATTTTAGGTTTAGGTTCCCTTTTGTAAGATTTAAAACTGGGCATCTATCTGAAGGCGTGTATCTAAATGTAAATATATGTTATTTAATAGTGCATATAACTGTTTAACTGCATTAAGTTATTACTTTGGTTATTATAATTAAGTCTTAAAGGTGGTTCCTGTATGGCCTTGCAGATAATTTACAAAAACTCAGACAACAGCAAGGCTTCATACCAGCGTTTAATAATATGACAACGTGGCCAATAGCTAATCATATTTTTTCCCTAGTTCGTTTTGCTTGTATGTTGTTTTTCAGTTTTGGGTTTTATTTATTTATTTTTTTGCTTTGTGTTGTTTGTTTTTTCCGATTTCTTTATACTCTTCCTCGTGCTGTATTTGAACTTTCAGCCAGCACAACATTGATCAATGTCGGCTAGGGAGGTTCGTAAATATTATTTGGTTTGCGGATAAGCTGATGTCAAGCAACATCCCTAGAAAATGCCCACATAGCTGCGCTGTCCTCAATATAGCAAAGGGGAATGGAACTTTCTGTGTTTACAAACATAAAATATCAACATATAATAATTCTAAGGGTGAAAAAGCCGATTTCCCATTAACATGGTTCAGGCTGCCTAGGCCTGGCAGTTTTTTGTTTTTAGTCATTTTATACCTTTTGTTTAAAACAGTTGACTCTTTGAGTACTAAAGTCTAATATTTGTTAGAACAACCTGTTGTATAAATTTAATCTTTGCCATGTTTTAGATTGTTTAGATTTTTGATTTCACAGGTTGTCATACAAGTGTTTTTCATGGTTTTTGACCTTCAGATATTTTTACTTGATTCTCAAAAAAATTCATTTCTAACAAATTAAGAGGTACATCAAAAATCAAATGAAATGGAAAATAATGAAAATATTTAAGTGTCATGGCTTTGTTTTATTAGTTTAGCTTCTTTTTAAGTGTAATTCATGCAAATTATAAACAAAATTACAAAACCCAATTTAAAAGTTCTTTAGGATTTGTTCCAGAAAAATCATTTTTAATCCAAATTTTATTCCTTTTAATCTTTAATGTATTAGTAAAACCAAAATCTTAATATATTTGGCCAATAAGAGTGCATCGTAAATTGTAAGTTATCCTATAGGATCGTGTGTGTGTGTGTCCAGTCTGTTTTAAAACTTATGACAATCAAGAATTTAGATAAGTGAATTGAAATTTTATTAAATATAGATAAATATTGTGAATGACGTCACCTGCAGTACCTTCACAGCCCAACAGAGGGCTGCGACCCACATGTTGGGAATCTGCCATTAATATAAAATTTACAGTTAATACAAAAAAGCTCCCCGAAAAAAACATTTCGATTTTTTTTGTTTCATATGTAACATGGATAAAATCTCTTCTTGTAAGATATTTTTATTTAAATATTTGTTGTAAACATCAGAGAAATCTCTAACTCAGTAGGACACCTTTCTTTTTGTTTTGTTTTTTTCTATGCAGAACCAAAATGGCAGAAAGTCAAGAAGAGATGTCTCCACTGGAGGGGAAAGTGGCGCGACAGATCGAGGTATTTCCAATTTAAAGTTTAAACTCATAATTTGGTATTTACCAGGTAAAACTGGTCCTGATTTGACTGTAAATGATTCCTACTCAGTACTACTTTGGCGATCACAATCTTCCAAGAGACCGGTTTCTCAAAGAGCAGCTGCAGGTCGATGATGGCTGGGTGACTTTGGAGACGATGCTTAAATTCAACAGGTTTGTTTATTTCTCTTTAATGCTTTCCGTGTCAAATAATTACTGTATTTATTTTATTTTAGTCTCTATTTTTGGCTTTCATTTATTTACCTATGCTTTTTGTTTATTGAGATTTTAAGGGGGGGAACTCTACTCTGAAGTATATAAGTGGGGTTTAAAAGTCCAGGCGCTATCTTCAGTTTGTTCATCTTTAGATTACTATTCAGTACTACTGATGTACTTACTTGTGTTTACTGATTGATGAGAAGTCTCTTTAACTTAAGATTTTTAGCTGATTGCATTGTGTATTTATAAATGTCATCATCTGAGGTCTCTAACTAAACTTAGGACTGAATTTTAGATGCACTTTTTAAGGTGTTGTTTGACATTACGAGACGCTACACTAAAATCTACTTTGTAAATTTGTTAATTAAAATTCTTTCACTGTGAAATTGTATATACCTGTGGGGTATATTTGTTGGTTGCTTATATTAGACACTTTTTATTACAGATTAACTAAATACTATGCTTATCACAACTCGGCATTAAACACTGTGCTTACCTTCTGTGCAGTGCAGTTCTAACACTGCTTTATCTGCTGAAATATGAGCACAGAAAACTGGCCATAAAGCCTGCTAAAGCACAGAAATTAGCCACAGAAAATTAATAAGTGAAAGCTGACACATGATGTAAAATGCTCTGACAATTTCTGCCAGTGTGTCCTATCAAGTCCCACGTTTTGTCATCCTCTAGAGGTTGTAGTTTTGGATATTTTGGATGTTGGTGTATATATGTGTGTGAGGATCTTTAAGTGCAGCTAATAGGAGGAGACAGTGCCTGTGGCTGTAGTGAATGTTAGTTTCAATGTGCGTTCACATTGTGGTTACTGCATTGTTGAAGTGGCTTTTTTCTCTTCACCACACCTGTAATGACTAAAGGAGGTGTGATTGAGGGCTGACAGTAATTGGCAATTAACTAGCTTAATACCAGTATATTATTTATTATATTTATTGTTGTGAAAAACAGCCTTTTATGGACTGCAGTTCTATTCCACTTAGTGTAAAAATACTAGCACAACATGACATACTGAAGCTGCAGTAACAACCTTCAGTCCTCAAGGACAAGGGTAGGCTTTTGAGTATAGCTGTTTGGGGTGGGTGTGCTGGGCAAGAAAAGGAGGATAGTGATGACTAATCAGTGTGTTTGGACCCTTTCTATGATTCATGATGGGCAGGATGAGATGAGAGCATGCTCTCATGCTGTGCCTCAGGTTCACTTGTTAGCAGCCAGGTCACAAGTGGCCACAGCAAGGGCAAATTAACACAGCAGGAGGAATCCATTCCTGTAATCCCTTTATTAAAGTGTATATTTAGAATGTAATGTAGTGTGTGAGTCAGCAAATTACATTCTAATTGAGCTTTATTACCGTACTTGAAATGGGAGTGCCCACCCCACTCACATACATAACATGACCAGGCTGAGAGAATTCAAAGAGGGACAATTAGATAAGCTGCAGGGTCTTCTCCCTTATAATGCAGATGAATGCATGCATCATTAGTGTTAACACACAGCCCTACAGCCGCCTGTAGCTGAGTGTTTGTTGAAAGATTTGCATTCTTTTCATAGGTTGAAGTCTTTAACCACAGACAGCAGCGTCCTCATTGCAGCTCTGGAGAAGTCAAAGACTGGTCTCTTGGAAATCAGTGAAGACAA